TAGCCTACATAGATAACGACTAAGCTTTCGCACCACATTCTCTGCGCATCAACTCCACACCGCCACAGCAACGGCTACTTAAGTCCTAACTAGTGAATAATGATGGCACCCTTCTAAAGCATCTCACTATTCGCCTCGTTTCGTCCTTGCTCCCACTGCTGCCTCACGAGTTTCTTATAAGCATAGACAAGTACTTAAAAACATTTCTACTGAATCATCTTTATATTTAGTTGTGCGTGGACTTACTTCCCTTTTCCTCGTATAACCCGTTCTTCGATCTTTTTACCCATTCGGGTCTGGTACTGAAAGTGACACTAGGCTTTTACTTCGTCCACATGGATGCTCTTTCGTATCAGTTAACAAGTATATTCTAAAATTTCCTTACTGATACCTAATGTTGTGGTATCCAGTAGGAAATAAGTCAGGTTGCAAAAAACGTGAGCAATCACTATAATCCTGGCGCACATATTGTCTACTTCTGTACACTTTAAAAGGAGTATATGAAATACATGGGACTCTGCACAGCTATGTGCTTGGGAGACGCCGAAAGTGAGATATCAAAGCGAAGTAAATAGCTTCGGGCACTCTTTAGATGGATCGAGCAAAAACCAGAAGAATATACGAATACCATATGGTAATGTAGAATTGGCCTACAATATACGATAGTCTATAATAGCGTTCACAAAAATTAAACCAAGGGATAACTGTACGAGATAATTTAATTTAAATTAATATACTGGTTTCGAATAAACCAAGAAGAGACATTGAATGAATACGGATAGGCAAAAATAAAAGAAAAAATTGAATGCTCACAAATGAACTGAAAGATGTTTCAGCAATAAGATGGCGAATATCAGATTATTCTTGCAAAGAATACAGTTGATTGAAAGCCTAAAATCTAGATGGATTACTAAGAAATGAAAGGCTCAACGTGGGTAAATGGCTTGAAACAAACTCTGTACAACTGCATATAGGGAGCTGATCAAAACACATATTTGAGAAATGGATTAAAAGATTTAGACTGAGATTATATCACGATACTTAATCTTCTATTGGTATGATGTAATGAAATTGTATTTCGAGTGGATATATACTGAGCTTGTATAGCTACATATTTATGGGTAATAATTAACTCTGCTGCTACTTATATAGATGATGCTTTGGGAGCGATAACGAGGACAATAACCTCTATTCAATCAGTATTAAAATTCAGTCCGTGCCGAATTATAGGTACCTCTTCCATCCTTATTATATCTACCCCTGTCACACCAGGAGGAGAGTTACTTAAATAGCTTCACTTTAAGACAATTGATTGTGGATCAGCAAATATTTATAAGTATTATCGATGAAGCGCAAAAATGTTCATCAATAAACAAACGTTATGATGCTTACACCCCCCCTGTTTGGCTGGTGGCAACTGTGACAGAAATTGGGACACCATTTTTTATATTTAAAATGTCTAGATTTACCTCATTCATTTTTCGCTTAACGGCCGACTTGCCAGTGGTCAATGGCAGAGAGCTGGTGGGAACTGCGACATAGTGCTTTGATTTGGAAGCATATCCACGACAATGAAGTCTAAACAGCAAGTTGAGATCGTCTACAGGCCGGGAAGGTATAAGTGGGGACAACTTCTTAAGATGGCGAGTGAGGTTGAGGGGATGGCACACACCTCCTTTTACGGATGGGAAACTCAAGACTCGGTTGTGATTGTCGTGGTCAGCATGGCGCAAGGGCCGGCAACTATAAGTCGTGGGGTTGGCAGATGAAATACAGGCGGACAGAGATGTCCGCCATGACCAAATTTCGGCAAAAGGGCAAAGGGGCCGAAGAAAGACAGATAATAATCGGTGATGCATCAAGACAGCTCAGATCAAGCTGAGCTTGGATGAGTAAAGACCGTCGATGCGAGAGCTTCAACGGACTAAAAGAGAAAATATCCCGTATGTGATCGACCTCGAGAAGGCAGAGAAGTCAAGTAAAATAATTAAGTATATCTTAAGGATAAAATGCAAATCCTAAGTGATGGACTAAAAGTGCTGATGGTAATAATTAGCTTAAGTAGCTATGACATTCCTTAAAATTCACATCCGCCCTGTGATCCATAGGGACTTTTGGCAATCTGGCGTAGTGGTTAACATGCCGAGCCTACACGCTGCACTGTCATGATTCGATTCCCGTTAGGGGTGTTAAAAAGACCTATGCGATGTCGAAATTGCAGTCCACCATGGATGATAACACCTTTTGGGAGAGCAAGGCTAAGTGAAATTCAATGGAAACAGCAGCTATACTCATATCAATGTGGGAAAATTCAACTATCAGTCCGTCAGTCCGAAATAAAGTGAACACATCTCATGATGAAGAACAGTTTCTACTCAGTATATACAAATTCTGATGCTGTCAAAAGGGACATCTGAGTGGTGTTGAGGAAACAGGCTTTCGATATCTAATCCCCCGAATAAAAACCTAGGAAACCTATCGAAACAAATCTGAAGCCCACCTTCACACCCAAAGGAGTGCCAAAGGAACCTTAAGATCCGCCGTGTAAAAAATTCGATTACGAAGGATCTGACAATGAATGACAGAAACAATATAACTACACAGATGGATAAGCAGACCGAAGGGAGTCTACAACATACAGTGAAAAAAATGTGATTCAGAAAAAAGTTTATTACGGTAAACAATATACATGAAACAACGAAATGAAAAAGTGAATGGTAGACTTTACAGCAATGTAAACTGTGATTTTATGCGTAGTGGTTTAGATGCAAGACTACTTAATTTTCCCATGCGCACATGACATTCACACACTCAGTTGTAAATAGAGAGCAGTTATCCCGTTTACAACGGACTTCACATGGAACCTCTCAGGCTTCGAAAAGTATTTCATGAAATGAGTTATAAAATGTGGTATTTTGCTCGTGCCAATAGCAACTTTGAGCCGCACGAAAGGATGGATATATCGGCCGGAATCATCTTTCCCAAAGCTATCCAAGAAACAAGAAAAGTAAAGCTGCTAAAGGCGAATCATGGAAGCAAAGTTCCCGTCGTTCGGCTTCTCTAGGGACCAGGAGATCCACAACAAAAAAGGTAAACTATCAAAGTATCTCGATAACTCCAAGAAGCAGGATGTCAACTCAGAGAAAGTAATGCCGACTTATTCAGTAGATCCGAATTTCCAGTTGAGTCAGCCTGAGCTTATCATGTAATGCAGCACCTTCGTAGATAGATATTCTCCCGTCAGTTGAATAGCATTTTGTATTCTGCATAATTGTCTCTCTCTCTCTTATATACTCTTCCCGTCTAACGTTCTTTTATTGGTCGAGTATCTGACCTGTCGGGTTCGGAATTAGATGACAGTTTCAGAAATAAGAGAAAGTGGACTATTTTTGCTGTATGTTGTCTCAAAGTAAATTTATCCTCTGAACAGCAGGGCCGATTATTCGCCGAATGTAGCATGGGGTGTCGAGTAATAAGAATATTGCTAGAGGAATCTGCATTTAGGAGTTCAGGTGGACCTATCAATCCTTTTAGTCAGAATCGAAAAACTAACTGCAGATACTTGATCTAAGATCCGGAATCTAGTCAATGAAAGGAAAGAAGACTAGAGTAAATAAGAAAAAGAACCTAATAAATAGTAGCAAGAATGATTGTTCTTTTTGTTCATTGTTGTTCTCTGCACCTCTACTATATTCTGGTCTTCATCCCTCTCACTAACACTTTTGTCCAATTTACGCAGCTGGCAACTGGTACTAGAATATAAAATAAAATGTTTCAAAGATATTCTCATGATTAAAAAAAACGTCGCCTTCATTCGAAGGGTTTGTTGTGTATGATGAAGCCATGCTATTTCGCTAAAAAAATCCAATGGAAACTCGGACATACAGATGTTGGCGTAACTTTTATTCCGTTTGAAGAGGCGAGTGAAAGGGATTAATAAATTTGCCTCACTGGAAGCTGGAGGATTGCTTTAAAGTTGCGACTAATTTTCCGGCACGCCGTCCCGCGGCCCTGATAAATCCGGTTTCCTGCTCTGATGATGTATATCATATAGCAAAC